TACTTTTTTGTTGGCGGGTTCACCGGCGGCATTCCAACTCCCACCAACTGCAGCTTCTGTACGCACAGCGGAGACCTCTGCGCAAGCGTCCAAGCGTCACGGTACTTGACCTTATCAAAAAGCTCCCGATAGGAGCCTCGCGGCATTGTTTTTGCACCGGAGCCTTCAGCTTCACGCACCTGAGCGAGGGTTCGCGCCGCCTCTCTTCCAGCTTCCTTGCTCCCAGAAGATTGTTGTACCCGTGCAGATGCATCGGAAGGAACTGCTTTTTCCGGCCCCCCCGGACGATGTCGGACACCACCCACCAATTGCAGAATTTTGCATGCTGTCACTTTGTTGATCCCTTTGTCAACCAAATCCTCCACAAAGATGAACTCCTGCAGGTCCGACACGTTGGTCACACCAAGTGTAATCATCACCTCACTCACATGAGGGGTATACACCCAAAGGTGTTCGTTGCGAGCCATCCAATTTTCAATTGGCTCCTCTGGATTTTGAAGCAGAGTACCAGTGGACTCAGCCACCGAATTCTTTTGTTCATCATCTTCTGCTTCATCCAGGGTACCCTTTTCACCTTCTTTTTGTGACACATTGGTCATTTGCAGCGCTTTTGGTGCTGAGGATGATGAAGATTCAGCTCCCCCACTCGCAGGTGGCTGAAAAGTGCTCCTGTCCGAAATCTCCCATCCTCTCTCTTTTTCAAACCGGACCTGATTGGCCACATGTACCAAGTGTTTCAGGTGCGCCAGCCGCTCATCTGACATCTCGTCGTGGGAAAATCTGCAGGAATTTAACCCCTTACGGCAATGTCCTCTGAGGTAATAATCGAAACAGCAATGGTGGAACCCCGCGTCCCTTAGTGCCTTCCTGGAAGCATTGTCCCAAGCTTTGCCGGGTTCCCAAGTCCCTTCCAATGCTATGTCATCGTTGTGAAGATACCTGCATGTAGTCCCATATTTACAACCACCTTGATTGTAATACAGACACAGCCGACTTTTTGGCTCACCCAACGTAGGTTCACCCTTTGATGCACCTTTACCAAAGTTGTACTTGGCCCGGAAGGCTGAATCCTCCCGCTCCTGCTGTGCCTCATCCACTGTGCCTTCCTCTGTAGGAGGGTCACCAATGTTCCCATCCTCATCTCCAGGTTTTTGGCTGCTCCTTGGCTCAGTTGGTCCACCCCCTGGCCAACCTTCACCATAACGACGATGCTCATAGGAACACTCATCACCATTGCGACACCTCCCCTGATTGAAGAACTTGCACAGCTTGCTGTATCCAGGTGACACAGTCTTTGGAGTCATGTGAGCCTTTTTGTACTGGTCAGGATCCATGTAGGCTTCCATTGGCTTGCCCTCTCTTTTACTCATGGATTCCACTGCACCATCAAGCTCCTGCAAAAATCGCTTGGTGTCCAGCCAAAGCGCGTTCCAAAGCTCATCTTCCCCTTGACTCAGCACCGTTGCCACCGCTTCACCCACAACTGGTCGAGTAAATCTCCTTTTCCTGCGTGCCAGTTCGAAGAGCGCGTTGTGGTACTGTTTTCGGGAAAAGGTGGATGTCTTTCCCAACCTGTGCTTTCTGCACCATCGGGCTTCCAACCATCACTTTGCAAGATGCCATACGCGCGCCGAGCTTCCGCATTCAGGAATGCATGATCTGCAACACACTCCTGTAGCTCTTCCATTGGACGACCCAACAGCATCCCAGTGATTTTGCCCACATAGGCCTTATCAGCCTTTCCATCCTCAAGAAGAGCTTTATAGATCTTTTCTCCATAAAGTTGCCTTTCCTCTCGTTCTTCTGAGGATAACTCCTGATCAGCAAACCTTTCATCGGATTGCTCTTCCTCCCGTTTCCAGTCCCATTGACTGTTGGAATCTTGGTACCATTGACCAGCATACCATGAATCTGTCCACCACGTACTCCAGCCGCTGGCTTTCCATTTGCGCCGCGTCGAAGAAGAGGCCTCCTCGTCCTCTTCCAAAACCAGAAAGGTGTCCAAGATCACGGTACCATCATCTTCCACTCGTTTCACTGTTCCATTGACAGTATCACCAAATTTGAGCTGATGTGCGTTGTTCCCTTCTGCAGGAACCAATACATTCACATCACCATGGTCCAAAAAAGCTCCATACCCATTGACGCAGCGCACTAGACCAACGATCTCATCTCCCTCTTGATAGCAATGTTCCCCAGGTGAATCCAAGGCTCCCGCTCGGGGCACTTTCTTTGCATGCTCTTCAGAAACCGTCTCTGTATCATCGGCTCCTGGAACATCCTTTGTTTCCACCGGGTCACACTGCTCGTCCTGCTCCTGCACGAGTCCCACAAGATCATCCATCTTGTGCTCCAGGGGCTCAGGACCTTCCTTTTTTCCAGCCAATGGCTTTGCCTCATCTGTTGTAGTTCGCTCGGTGTCGACTTCCGGCGATCTTCCAGATGGCAATACTTCCCCCTTTATGGGAGTAGACCCATCATTGGAGTCCTTTGTCACGCCTTCTGCAGCAGGCGAATTTTCTTCCGCTGCAGGGCTATTGAATTGCTCATCCACGGCAGGTACATTTTCTTCCACCGCAGGCTCCTTTAGCTCCATGGTTGCCAAAGGAGAATTGCCACCATCATTGACCACAGCTGCCTCATCGGCTCCGGTGTAGCCCTTGCCATTTCGTTCCTCGCGGCTAACTTCAGGTTGCACCAGTGCGTCCACCTGTGAACCTCCATCATCAGCTGCTGCGGAGACCTGCGCCCCATTGTTGCAGTCGCCCGTGGAACGTGACACCATATGCACCTCAACCCGTGCTTCTTTCGCACTCCAGGTACTATCTGGCGCATTGACCCGCGCATCATTGGCGCTCCAGGCCTCATCTTTCAGATCTTCCGTGTCTCCAGCTATTCCAGAAGCTTCTTTTTCTCCTTGAATGGCAAGACTCTTGGCACCAAACGAAGAGACCTCCTCAGTTGTAACACACAACTTTTTCCCTCCGTCCTCCAAATCTCCAGGATCACCTTCCTGAACGACAGGTACCACATCCACCACTCTCTCTTCTGCAGCCGACACAGTTCCGATCTCCACATTGGGCATTTTTTCCTCTGGACCCACCGATTCCACCGCTGCCACACCCTCAGAAAGCGCTTCCATTTCTTCCCGATCCAGATGTTCACCAACGATGTCTGCTCGGCTTCCAGAAATCCCTTCCTCATCAGGAGAACCCGAGGTCGGGGCGTCACCACCAGCCCTAAGACCGCTATCCCTGATAGTAGAGGAAAAATCCTTTTCACCTACACTATTTACACCGCTGTTGACACTTTCCATGCTACCCTGTTGTGCCCTGAAGGACTCAGTAGGCGACGAGGACGAAGTAGTACCCAGTGCTGGCTCTTCTTCCACAGGGACAATGCCCATTCCAACACCAGACCCTTCACTGTTTCCAGCCATCCCAGTCTTCTTCGGCAACACCCATTGGGTTTCTCCCGTGTCTAAGCAGTAAAGATATTCTCTCCCATCCTCGTGAAAATGGGGTTCCCATGTCTTCCCATCACAGTCGATGATTGGAAGGTCAGCAGCTTGAGACACTTTGCCTCCACCATCAGCGTATAAGTCTTCATCTGACTCTTGCTGTATTCTCGCTGCCTCCAATTCCAGGATTTCTCCTTCGCTCATCACCATAGCAACAGGAACGACTCCTTCTGCGTCCCCAACGACGAGGATACTGCTTTTTGTCGCAGCAACAGGCGCAGTTTCTTCCGCTTCACCTGTCAACAGATCACCACTTTCAGCCGCGAAACTCACTTTGTTGCGAGCTCGCTTGGAAACAGGGATAACATCCCCAACCAGTTCTGTCTGGCACCCTTGCTCCACCATCTTTGACGTAGAGGAGCTTGTTGTTGGCGCTCCCGTTGATTCAGCAGATTCCGCAGCTCGAAGAAGATGCCCATGTTTGCTCAGAAGGCGCAGCAAAACTGCTTCCATCTGGTCTTCCAGTCCTTCTACCACCGGCTTCTCTTCGCCACGCATACCACCAGCATCAACCAGAGCCTCCACATTGGGAACAACTTTTTCACCCGTTGCAGACCTTTTGACACCACCTTCACCTTGGTCGCCCACATTGGAGCTCGATGATGCCGCACCAGTCCGTAACCAGTTGGTCGCCATGGCTTCAAACTTCCACCCTAAAGCCGAAACACAAACCGCAGGGAACCTAACTTGGGCTCATAACCTACGGGGGGCAACCGAAGGAGGACAGGGAACAAAACAGTCAACCCCAACAGAAGCCCTTGATCCCCTGGACCAACAAACAACGAACCAACCCAAAACCAACACACACTTCTTTCTTCAGGGCGCATGCCCAAGTTCCTTGAGCCAGAAAGATTTCCGGGTACGTTGACCCTTCCAATTCCCAACACCAACTCCTTTCTACAATACCAGCTGCAGCTCCGCACCCTAAACCCTAGACCCTAAACCAGCCCTACATCCCCGAAGTTCGGAACCCCCCAGGCTAGTTTCAATAGATCGTGCTGTGTCGAGGAGCTTTTCGAGCGGCTGGCCGTAGTTCAAGCCACGAGACTTGGTGCTGATCTGTTTACTTTCATGATATTATGGTTGAGGGTGTCGGGTTTAGGGTTTAGGGTTTAGGGTTTAGGGTTTAGGGTTTCGGGTGTAAGGTTTAGGGTTTTGCGGTCTCAGGTTGTCCCTGATGTACTCTGCTTGCCGTACCATGTCTCATGCCTCGACTCAGGAAAGGGGCCGCCTCTGTCTGTGTGCTGTCCGCAGCCTCGAACGTCACCGGGCTGCTGGCGGACGTACCGCGATTGACGAGCCGAATCCACCAGTACGGTGCAGATCTCAAGCGCATTTCCTTCACCCAGATCTGGGAGTTTGGGGCAATCAGGGTCTCCTTTTCGGGGTCCTTTGAAGGGTTGCTCGATTCGTACTCTCATTGGGGGGATAAGGAGGCACGAAAGGGGCCCCAAATTTGGGGACACTCCCATCTGTTCTCATGCAAATCTCACCGCCGGGGTTGCGGATCATGGGTCAGCTTACGCTTTGTTAGAAGGGAATGAGGGAAATAGGGTCCTAGATATACCCTTTAAGGGACTATAGAGGGTACCTCATTCCCCCATTCCCTACGAACCAACAGTAAGTCAGGTGCCATCGCCTGCTGGGACTTTGCGGCCACTGCTGGACACCTGCGGCCGGACCTGAACCCGCCAACCTCGCGGCTTCGGCTGAGGGAGGGGGGGGTTAACTTTCTCGGTCCTTAATATGAATGGATCCCATTCTTCTACAGTCCTTATTATGTGGGGATCCCATTATCCTCTACAGTCCTGATTATGTGGGGGGATCCCCAGAATTCTACAGAAGCACCGTCAAACCCCAGCTGTTTAGGCTGAGGCCATCCAAGAGCTCACAACACATCCAATACCCGACCAAGCAGATGCCTTCCTTGTGCGGCTCCCTAATTTGGGTGTAAGGTGGCGGCCTGCCTTTAGGACCTCCAGCGAACCCTAGCAGGGTTTAGGGTCCAGACACCCACGTGAGGACCAGCGTGAGATGGGATAGAAAATCTGTGGAACTGCGCGCTTACCCCGCCCTTATCTTAAACCCTAACCCTAAACCCCAAACCCCAAACCCCAAACCCCAAACCCTAAACCCTAAACCCTAAACCCGAAACCCTAAACCCGAAACCCTAAGCCGCTCTGGGAGCAGCCCCGAGAGGCCTGACGCCTCGGTCGATGTCGCCTTCTTCTCTCCGCGCCGCGGTTCGCAGTTTGGGAAAAAGGTTTAGTGTTTGGGGTTTAGAGTTTGGGGTATAGGGTTTAGGGTTTGGGGTTTAGGGTTCGGGGTTTAGGGTTTGGGGTTTGGGGTTTGGGGTTTTGAAGTTTGGGGTTTGGGTTTTAGGGTGTGGGGTTTAGGAGTGGAATGTACCTTGGAATGTTCGAAAAGAGGGGCAGCTGTTTAGACGTGGTCAAGGGTCTAGCTTGGGGAAGGGGGGTTCTTAGTAGGGAATGAGGGAATGAGGTACCCTATATCCCCCTATATATACCCTTTAAAGGAATTGTGTAGGGGGTACCTCATTCCCCCATTCTACTAAGAACCCGGAGTATCGAGCTTGTTTCTGGGGCTTTCGGGCTATCGAAGCTTAGCCGGGAGGCAGGCTTCCGGGATTCATTCAGGAACCCTCACCCCTAAACTACCCGAAGCCCGAAGCCCGAAGCCCTAAACCCTAAACCCCAAACCCGGAACCCTAAACCAATCTTCTTCAGTCGATGCACCCGGGGATCCACAAAAACGGAGTATGCGACGGAAATCATGAAAGTTACAAGTAGGGTGGCCGTGGTGATAACCTTGTTTAGGGTACTTAGAACCCTACTCATAAGTATGTCTAGGGACCTTCAAGTATAGTTGAGGGCACCGAGATGGGCCTGCCATGTAGAGCAACGTCCGTGGATGCAATCGAAGCTGCCTCAGCGCCGAACCCGAGCCCTAGCACGGCAGAGTTTTTCTTTGGGGTCAGGGAATCCTGGCAGGTTGGGTTTAGGGTTTAGGGTTTCGGGTTTAGGGTTTGGGGTTTAGGGTTTGGGGTTGAGGGTTGAGGGTTTAGGGTTTAAGGTTAAGGGGTTTAGGGGTTTAGGGGTGTAGGGGTTTAGGGGTTAGGAACCTCAAGAAGCCGAGGCACAAGCTGCTGGGAGGCCCTGGTTCGGTGGGCCTGCTTCTGGTGAAGAAGAGGCAGACTTTCAGGGTTTGGGGTTCAGGGTTTGGGGTTCAGGGTTTGGGGTTCAGGGTTTGGGGTTTAGGGTTTGGGCTTAGGGGGTTTAGACTTCTTGTTCGGTTTTGAGGTTTAGTCTCTTCTTTCTTTGATCATCCCGTGTTTCTCCACCAGGGCGAGGTAGAAATGGATTCCTTCACTTGTCGACTTCCGTGTGCCTAGGTACTTGTAGCAGAACTACACCCAACCCATTTTTTTCTCAGAGCTAGCTCAGCAGCCCGCCAGTTCCTGTCGATAACGCAAAACATCACAGGCGCAGGAGGGTTCCGCTGATGCTCGGAGGTTCATAGGTACTTATAAGATCTTATAAGTACGGTGACTGGTACCCTAAATAAGGTTAGAACCATAGCTACCATAGCTACCCTGCTTATAAGTAGGGCTTTTAAAGTTCCCTCCAAGTAGCCTGCTTTGCCTCTTTGCCGGGGTGAGGCTTCTGCGAAACTCAGTGCCGGCAGTCCCCGGCGGCGGCGTCGTCTTCTTCGTGGACCAGCAAGGACGCTGCACGGGATGATGTGGGCGGTTTAGGGTTTAGGGTTTAGGGTTTAGGGTTTAGGGTTCTGTTTTAAGTGGTACTGAAAAGGAGATCAAGTTGAGTGACCTGCCTCCCGTGTAGAACTTCGCCGAGTTTTTAAGGGAAGAAACCAAGTCCCCTATCCCGCAATGCTCCGCTCGTGTCTGTCAGGCCACTCGTACATCCAGAACGCGGAGGATCGCGAAGAAGCTGGCACACCCGACATCGTGGGCTGCATCCGGACAGGCAGGATCCTTCGAATACTTGGAGGTTCATGGTACTTATTAACCAACCATATCTGTACTTATAAGCCACTTATAAGCCCCTTAAGTGCCCTAATATGGTTCTAGGTACAGTTATACGTACAGTTCTAATTTGGTTCACAAATACCACGTGATTCAAGCAGCACCTTGCCTCAGGCTTGGTGTATCACCTGCACACGCTTCTCCCTGAGCAACTCATACAGGCCAGAAAGCCTTTGTGTCCTGACTTGGGTCTGCAAGTCTCAAGCTCCCTGAGCCCCCAAACCCCCCGAACCTACGAAGACTTATGGGGAGCTTTCTGTCGGGCGCACGTGAGAGGAACTTTGACCCTTTGCGAAGAGAGCCGTTCCGAGCGGAACGAAGCCCTGTCCTTGCAAAGCAAAGCTTCGTCTCTGAGGCGGAGCACCGTGGCCTCCGCGTGTTGCTGGACAGATGGGCATCACAGCCGCGTGCCTTGGGTCAAGGCATCCATAGAATCTGGAAGGGGGGGGGAAAGCTCCAGGTGTCGCAGCTGCTCGTGCTGGTGGGCTGGTATGGCATCTTGGGGGGGGGGGGAGTTTACGATTACAAGGGGGCCCTGAATATAGACCCCACAGAGTAGGCTCCCCTTCCTTTTCTAGGACCCCAAGAAGGGTCCCCCCTACGGTGGATGGACGAAATCTTGCACCACCTGTACATGCGTACTTCAAACGATTGAGGCATCAAGCCCCGCACCCCCTGCTTAACATTGGTGGCTGGGACTATTTGAGCGGTGCAAGATTTCGACCATTGGAGCAAGTCCGGCCGCCAGCTTTTCGCTGCCAATGTTAAAAAGGGGGCACGGGGAGCACAAAAAGACGTGTCTGAAAAGCGGTGCAAGATTTTGTCCATCCACAGTAACATCGCAAGCCCCCCCCTTGTGAGAAGTTGGCCTGCTCTGCTAGGCATCGAGGTGCTGGGCACAGTGGAGCCCGCGGGCCGCGCGGCCATCGTGTCCTTCATGATCCGCTACGGGAACAAGCCCAGTGGTGGGCTGTATCTGCACCACAACTACGTGGTGGCCCTGCCGCTTTGCCTAAGATAGGGCTTGTAGGTAGAGCTTGTAGGGTTTTATCGGGTTTAGAGGGCTTAAAGGGTTTACAGATGTTTACAGGCAGGGTTTTACAGGATTTCGTGTCTCTGCGCCGCCCCCTGTTGCTTCAGAGTCATGGCTCCTGTGGCTTCAGGCTGAACGACCTCTTCGGAGTCCAGGCCGCAGGATTTCCTGCGACTGGGTGCTTCTTCTAGGGGGTCCTTATAAGGGAGGGGGGGGTTCATGAGGGGGTACCTTTGGGAACCTTAGGGAAGCTCTGGGAGCGACAGGGAGTAGAGGGGGGGAGTATTAGGGAACCTTGGGTTCCATACCCGCCCCCATAGGGACCCTACACCCGAAACAAACCCCGCACTCGAATTAAGGCCCATTGTCTCCCCTGCGCCCTTTCAACCCCACCCGTACAGCCCCTACAAGCCCTTTGCAGCCCCCCCACATCCTAAAACCTAAACCCTAAAACCCTTAAACCCTTAAACCCATAAACCCTTAAACCCTCAAACCCATAAGCCTTCCAAAACCCTTAAACCCTAAAACCCTTCTGCAACCCCTAAAGCCTGTCGCAGGCCCGAGGCGGCTGCGCCTGTGCCGGGCCCTACGCTCAGAGGCTGCTGGGCATCGACGCCGACCTGGCGCGCGTCTTTGACGAGGCGCAAGCCTTTTCTCTGACCTTTTAGGGCCTTAAGAAGTTTCCAAAGTTTGAAGGGCTCTTCTTCAAATGTGTGTGTCTGTGGGGTTCAGAGTCTAAGAATATTTCTCCAAAGAATGTGTCAACTCTGTCAGGACAGGCCTCTAAAGCCCTGCGGCGCACCCGACGGCGGGACCAGGGGTTCGCACTCTCGCCTACTTGGAGGGTCATGGTACTTACTACCCAATTATAACTGTACTTATAGCCCTTTTCAGGGCACTTAAGTCAGTTACAATTGGTTATAAAGTACCATAAACCTCGAAGTAGGCGCAGGCGTGGCCTCGCTTGTCGGTGTTCGCCACATGAAAAGCTGCCGTGGCTTTCGGACGTCCGTGTTCACAAAATGCGAAGCTGCGGTCGCTTTTGGACGTCCGTGTTCGCCAAATGCCAAACTTCCGTCGCTTTTTGGACGTCTTTTGGATGTGCTCTTGACCTATTGGAGTGCTCTTGCGTGTCCACATGGTCTCTCGCTGTTCTGGGCCTACGCTTGCACAATCTTGATAATGTGGGTTCGTTTAGGGAAATTTGTAATGGGTTCAGAGTTTAGGGACATATTGTGTTGGGTTCAGCGTTAATCGATCTGGAGTTCTCCCTCATTGTGTTTTCTTGGTGGTTCTTCATGCAGAGAGAAGGAATGAGGTATCATATATCCTCCAATTTGGGATTATACACAGTTCGCAAGTTCTCTATCAAGAGCCAGTAAGTTTAAGAGTCCGTATTCAGACATTGTTTTCAGAGGGCTCTGGTAGGTTTTGTTGGAACTTGGGTTGTGAGGGCCTGAGGCTTAGGGTCATTCCGCGCCTTGTTGTGGGGTCTCTATGATCGTGATGCCTTATCATTTCAGAAGTATGAGTGTATGGATGGGGTGTCCTTCTGGAGATGCCTGGAAAAACCGCCGTAAACCCCAAATCTAAACCCTTAAACCCTTAAACCCTAAACCCTAAACCCTGAGCTTTGCCCTAAACCCTGAACCCTACTCTATGCAGCTGAGGGTGCCAAGAAGGTCCCATCATTTTAGGCCACGGTCATCCCTAGACCCTGAACCTTTGCAGGCGCTCCTGCACTCAGCCCAGGAAGTCCTCAGACCAGGCGAGGCGATTTTAGCTGGGGTTAGGGTTTAGCGTGCAGGGTCTCGGGGTACGATAGGTTTTTCCTGATCCAGTTTCCGTGCTGAGTTGGCTGTTGATGAGCTTCCCCAAGCCCCGAACCCTAATCCTACAAACCCAAAACCTTCAATCCAAACATAATTGTAAACGCTTGCGCACGCCGCCTCGGCAGCCGGGCCGGCCCACGGACAGGAAAGGAGGAAAGAGGGTTTCTGAGAACGGCCTCAAAAGTCCCAGGGGATCCCAAAAGAAAACCAAATTCGTGCTTTTTGGAGCGCCCCCCTCCATAGGAGCCGCCGACAGGCGGGACCCCCACGGCATCGGTTTGCAGCTCCTCCAAGCTACATGGGCGGGGGTCCCACAGGGCGGGGGGGGCGGTCCGTCACAAAATTCGGCGTGGATCAATCGGCAGGAAGCCGAGGCGAATTCAACATACCCCGAACTCAGACTCGGCCCCTTAACCTTTCAAAGGAGAATAGAAGTAAGGACTTTACCATGCCCCTTCATTTCCTTTGTAGGGATATGCCCAGGGGTATGTTGAATATTTCTCAGACTCAAGCCCTGAAAAGCCCCAAACCAGGCTTTGTTCGCCTGGGCATTCACTTCACCATGTCCGATGAGGATGTTGAACTCCTGGCCTCTGCAGTGGCACCATGGCGAATGTTAAGGGTTTAGGGTTTAGGCTTTAGGGCATCAGGCTTTAGGGTTTAGGGTTAGATGTGTGTGGGTGAGCTCAGAACACCATTTCTGGCCGTCGGTAGCCCTAAACCCTAACCGTAACCCCTAACCCCTAAACCCCTAAACCCCTAAACCCCTAAACCCTAAACCCTAAACCCCTAACCCCTAACCCCTAAACCCTAAACCCCAAAACCCTAAACCCCAAAACCCTAAACCCCAAAACCCTAAACCCTAAGCCCTAAACCCTAAACCCCTAAGGAGTGGATTGCGGGGAATGGCTGGCGCCTTCTGCCAGCTTACAGCTTCTGTGTCGAAACCGGGGAGTGGTACCACCGCCTGGCAACACCGCAGCAGGACCTGTGTTTAGGGTTTAGTGTTTAGGGTTTAGGGTTTAGGGCTTAGGGTTCAGGGCTTGGGGTTTAGGGTTCAGGGTTCAGGGTTCTAGGATGTTTTAGGGTGCTCTAATTTACGTTTTAGGGGCTGAGACTCAGGTTGTGACCTACCGCCCTAATCCTCAACAAGATAACGGGAGGGATTGGGGGGGAGGGAAGTTCCCTCAGCCCTGACTTTAAGAATAACCTAAGCCCTAAACCCTAAACCCTAAACCCTAAACCCTAAACCCTAAACCCTAAACCCTAAACCCTAAACCCTAAACCCTAAACCCTAAACCCTAAACCCTGAGTTTAAAGGAAAGCAACCTATGCCCCTAAAGCCCTGAGCCCCTTTTGTCTGTGGCAGGACCGGGAGTGGCTCTCTGGCTTGGTCCCTCCAGTGCTGAAGAGCAGCCCCTTGCGGGATCTCGAGAGCAACCTCCGTCCCCAGGCGGGGGGGTTGAGGGTTTGGGGTTTTGAGTTTGGGCTTTTGAGTTTGGGGTTTAGGGGGGTTGAGGGTTTGGGGTTTTGAGTTTGGGGTTTAGGGTTTCTGGGGGGGGGGGTTTCGGGCTTGGGAGTTTGCAGGCTTTAAGGGTTTTTGTTGAAGGCTTTAAGGTTCTTTAAAGGGCTTTAGGGCTGTAGGATTTTTTGCGCTTAGGGCTTCTGGGGCTTGAGGTTTGCAGGGATTGTTTGATGTCTATTTTTTGTGTTTGCTTGAGGCTTTGGGCCGTTAGGGTCCTGGATTCCGGGCTTAAGGAGGGCGTTTTTCGGACTTTGTGGGGTGTTGGTTTTGGGGTTTCAGGGTGTTCAGTTAAGGGTGTCTTGGGCATACCCGGTATACTGGGCACGCAGAGTGGGCCTGAACCCTAAACCCTAAACCCTAAACCCTAAACCCTAAACCCTAAACCCTGAACCCTAAACCCTAAACCCCGAAGCTGGGCCTACATCTGGGGCCTGGTGCAGTGGGAGGACACTCCTCCCCCCGAAGATGTGCTGGCTGCTGCAGATCATGCCTTGGCCACCACCTTCAAAGGCCGTCTCTGGAACGGGGGGGGGATCTGCGCTCTCAGCCCTGCACGAGGTCGCAGTGGGTTCGGCTAGGCCACACAGGTTGGAGCCCCTAAACCCCTAAACCCCTCAGCCCCTAAACCCCTCAACCCCTCAACCCCCAAACCCCTAAACCCCTAAACCCCTAAACTCCTAAACCCTAAACCCCTATGCAGCACCTATGCAGGTGAGAATCCGATTCCGCTGTCCTCCACTCGCTGTCCGCTGTTGGACGCCGAGTACGCCCATCTCGCAGCTGGACTTTGTAATATAAGATTTTGGGCTTAGGGTTTAGGGTTTAGGGTGCCCTAGGGCCTTCCTAGCCCAGTGGTACCCTTAACTTTCTTTTTTGGGGCTCTGGGTTCCCTTATACAGTAACCAACCCCAAACAGGGAGCCCTGGTGCCCTTATCATGATATGGTCACTGTGCTACAAAGAGGCCCTCAACCTGAGCACCCTCCATTATGTGATCAGACCATCACTAGTTTTTGTTGTTGTTACAGTTTTCAAGTATCAGAAAGTTACAAGATTATGTTCTTATATGGTTACATATTGCGATACTCTGTTTTGTTGAAGGTTTTTTGCATCATTGAATTATTCTGCTATCGTAAATTAAGTTATTGTTTTTTCGTCCCTAAGGGGCCGCCTAGGGCGGTTTTCAGGGTTTAAGGGGTTCGAGCTTTATACCTTGTAGTAGAGTAGGTAACCTTTAACCTTTTTGGGGTAGTATAATCTCCTTACAATCCCAAAGGTTCACCTTTAATTCCCCCAGGTTGCTGGACAACTAGGTATAGGGGTTTAGGGTTTAGGGTTGGCGCATCGGCGCACAGCGGTCTTCGTGCGTCCCGCCTGTGCTCAAAAAAATCGATGTCCAGCGTTTCCTCCCTTGCAGGGTCTCTGCTCCTCCGGAGTACTTCCAAAACCCGAACTTTTGTATAGGGAGTTCCTGGAAAAACGCCCTAAACACCCTAGACACCCTAGACACCCTAAACACCCTAAAGACCCTAAAGGCCCTAAAGACCCTAAACGTCCTAACACGCCCTAACACACCCTAAACCCTAAATGCCCGGATCCTGAGACCTGGTTCGCCCTGCCCACGGACGCGGCTGCGGCGCTGCGAAGCGATGCGCAGCCGCTTCTGGATGCGGAGGGCGCCGTCTTCACTGCGGAGAAGGCGGGGGGGCGGTGCAAAAGGGGGCTTTTTGCAGCACCCTCAACTCTTCAACTCTGAGCCCCAAACCCCCAAGCCCTGAACCCCAAACCCTAAACCCCAAACCCTCGGAGCTGCATAAGCCTTCAACTCTGCCTCGAGCGGCCCCTGGCGCTCAGGCGGTGGAGCGCGGGGTGCCCAGAATCACAGCAGGTCGACTTGTTGGTGTCGACTTGTTGGTTAGGGCCCGATTTCATCAAGTCGAGGCCCCCACGGCGCCGCCTTCGCCGTCGCCGCCGTGGCCACAGCAGAGTCCACGTCGGCCGGGTCTGAGCAAGGCGAGGGTTCAGGGTTGGGGGTTCAGGGTTGAGGATTGAGGGTGAGGGTTTTGGGTGCAAAGGTGAGAGGGTGCGCTTAATGAAGCAGTAGTTGTAACAACCCTAAACCCTAAACCCTAAACCCTAAACCCTAAACCCTAAACCCTAAACCCTAAACACCCTAAACCCTAAACCCTAAACCCTAAACCACCCTACTCACACTGAACGGCCGAAGGATCAGCCTCCCCGGCCGATGCTGATGGCGACCTTGTGGCTTTTGAGTTCGGCTGTGACGAGGTCGCGGCAAGGGTTCCGGGTTCAGGGTTCCGGGTTCAGGGTTTGGGGTTTGGGGTGCAGGGTTTAGGGTTTAGGGTTTAGGGTTTAGGGTTTAGGGTTTAGGGCAACGGGTTCAGGGTTTTAGGTTTCGGGGTTCAGGGATCAGGGTGTAGGGTTTAGGATGTAGGGTCTCCGGGTCTAGGCCCGACGCTTCGCTCAGCAGCAGTGCGGACTTCCCTCGCCCGAACTCCCCAATTTTCTGCCGATGCTTCCCGGCCTGACTTGGCCAAGAAGGCGTGGGCGCCGCAAACCCCAGACCCTAGACCCGCAACCCTAAACCCTAAACCCTAAACCCTAAACCCGAAACCCTAAACCCTAAACCCTAAACCCTAAGCCCTAAGCCCTAAGCCCTAAACACTCACCAGTGAGCGGGAGGATGACATGGAGCCAACCGCGGTTTCTGGGTCTTGTCCCTTTGGCGGCAAGGTGTTGGGATGTTCGCCCGTATACTTTGGGGTTTAGGGTTTAGGGCTTAGGGTTTAGGGTTTAGGGTTGCGGGTTTAGCGGGTTTAGGGTTCCTTAGTTGGATTATAGTACAGCCGCATAATAGTATGAGTATAACAGTATAATATGAAGGAGTAAAATATCAAGGATTATCATAGGGGGTAGGCTCAAGCACCGTAGGCAGTCAAGAGCCTAGCACCTACTTTGAAGCAATGAATGAAGCCGGAGCGCAACCACATGAAAAAGCCACGCGAGTGCAAATGATTTCCTCATCAGTTTCAGTGGAATATCACCCGGACGATCAAATCTTCTTGGTACATCGTCTCCCTGATGGTTCAGAGAAACGGGAACTCACCACGTCCATGATTGTTGATGCGATGTTCGAGGTTAAGAAACGCGCTGCAGTGTCCAACTTATCTGACATTAGTCAAATTACAGGCACAGCGCCCGCAGGACCCATCAAAGAGGAGGAGGTTGATTATTCCAGTCTGGAATGGGGTGACATGGATCCAAACTATCGGCGGGAACTCGAGAAACGTCCTGAAGTTAAGGCAGCTCTTCAACGATTCAAGCGGCAATCAAAGGCTGCACGGCTCACGCCGTCAGGAGAGTTTATGGAGTTTCATACAGCCGAAATTCCCGCGCCCGACAACCCGCCTACTCTGGCTGAGGATTTCAAGCAGAGGGAAATGACCGGGGACACATTGGACTCTGCAATCAAATTTTATCATGAGCGTCATGTGCAGCCCAGTTTCAACATGTTAGCGGATGCCGTGACGGCTATGTCCAATCGGAAGGCGCCATGCGTGCTACAAGCTTTGAATTTACACCAGATGCAGTTGAGTAACCTTGAGGGCGAAATCTGCCAACGCACGGTTCTCTTGCATAACATCCCTCCGTTCGCGAATTATTCTTCCATACAGGGAAACCTGCAGTTCCTGTGCGGGGTGGCTGGTCTGGATTTTCACCATGCAGTCCAATCTTGCTCAACCCACATTCTCTCCCCGAATGCCGCGATCCTGAGGGTTGTCTTTTTGCAAATGCAGGGAAGCCGCGAGTTTGTCATTGCTTTTCGGAAAGGCGCAAGGTACTGGCGAGACTACCAGGACCGGGGCAATGATCGAAAGATACGAGTTGAGAAAGATGTTCCTTTCTCAACTCGTTTGGAGAGGCAGCCGTATTATGCCTTGCTGGACATGCTTTCGGACATTTCTCCACCTCCTTATGGCTCCACCTCCTTCCGTACAGATTTGTCCTCCCTGCAGATAAAAACCCCGGAGGAGTGTGATGAGGATATGGTCTTGGCGCAGGTTGTTTACCTTCCTTTCCGAGGGGAGTTTCGATGCATTCTGCTTGTCCAGCCCGATCTTGTGACCTCGCTACAGTCATCCTTTGGACGTCATTTCAATGAGCGCATGATGAGTACACTCATACTCCTGCAGGCAATTACTCACGCCAGCACACACACAACCACACTGGCTCGATTCCATCACACATCATCATTCGACTACTCCAATGTCGGCCCAGAGGAGGCCTTCCACATGTTCCCGTATTCTATCGAGCACAATGTTCTGGACCCCGCGCTGGCAGATAAGTTGAGGACAGACCCCGGATTTATTCACAAGGGGTATGGAGGGCTGGGTCAGGTCGTCAATTCCGCGCAGTTTGCTCGCGGCACCAACCCTGCAGACTACGGGCCGGGTGTGGGATCTCATGGTGGAGACAAGCGCAAGGGTTACGCGAAGGGTAAAGGGAAGAGCGGCAAAGGAAGAGGCAGCTCCACTTTTCATGATCCGCAGATGCGAGACAGGGATGTGGACATGGAATTCCAGGGCTCTCGAGATAACCGCAGACGAGCCAGCAATCATCGGGAGGAGTATGATGAGGACTTTGGCTCAGACGAGCGGTTTTACCGACATCAAGATCGGAGAGGTTTCCGAGATGTTCGTGATGCTCGCAGAGATGTTCGTGATGATCGCCGCGACGTTCGGGATCGCAGCCCCTCCCAGCACAGGCAGCCCAGACGTTATCAATACCAGCGTGATTGGTGACTATATCTTTCGCTCAGTCTATGTATGCTCCTTTACAGCTTACCCGCACCTATGATGCAGATACGGTTAGATGCACCAGATACGGCTATGAGCATGCGGCTTCAGTCTAATGCGCTTGCACCTATGATGCAGATACGGTTAGGCGCGCCAAATACGGTTATTAGAGAACGGCTTCAGTCTTATGCACATACGGTTACGACAGTGAGGCTACTTGCCCTGGAGGGGCGGAGTGGTCAGCGCATTCGCACGCCCATCCTTTTTTCTGGCGCGGCGTGTAAATGGCACGCCGCGGCCACGCGGATCTCAGCAGCAACACGCTCCGTTTGTTTGAATGATTACTGCTCTCGAAAGAAGCGAAACAGGATAATGCATTCTCTCCGCGGCAATTGGTACACAATCCGTGACTGGCAGAAGCCGCACTACAAATCGCGAATGTGGCAGACTTGTACTAATCTTTACAACGGAATGAAGGTGTTTAAGTTTGTTGAGTATTCTGACTGTTTTGAGGCTTTCGTCTATAGACGAGGTATATACTATGTCTTTTGTTCCGATTCGTATTCTTCTCCAAAGATGTATTACAGCCTACGGAAAGCGGTTACCTCCAGTCGGGGTGAGCCGGGATGCCGCCGTCGTCATGCTGATCCACTCCTCCATTCAGTTATCTCATCTCTTCGAGTTACGACGAGCGGCAGCGAAAACCGCAATGCTTTCGGGGGACATAGTCATAGGGGTTTCCGCAGTGCGGAAGCAGTAGACAGAAGGCTACTGAAATACAGAAGCTCTCGAGCAGAGGCTAGAAGGTCATACCGTGCACATTCCAAGGGCTGGGGTAATGGTAAGGCTGACCACCCCTTTTTGATGCCCCCCCCGCCACAGCCGCGTGCAGCAGTTTACGAACGAACTCGAAAACAGATCAAGCCTCATCAGCATCAAGCCAACAATGCGTCGCTTTGTCGACTCGTGTTGTCGTCGGCAGTCGCGCCTTGTAAGCTCTTTGCTCGGTCACTCCGCCTGGCGTCGTGGAACGTTGAGGGGCTTCGCGAGATTGCAAAATATGACCAAATCTTTTCCTTCATGCAGAAGCAATCGGTTCACTTGCTTGCAATGCAGGAAACACACGCATCTAACCCCCAGGAGTTCTCTAAGTCAGGGTTTCTGGTCCTCCACAGTGCTGCCCCAACTTCGCCCAACCATGGTGTTGGGTTCATTGTTTCCCCTGAGCTCCGTCCGTACGTTAAGTCCTTCTTACCCATTAGCCCTCGGTTGTGCTCAGTCGAGATCAATACCTCTCCTAAACCACTTCTCGTTTACTGTGCTTATGCTCCTAGTTTAGTTCAGGATGCCGCAGAGGATGTACGCCGGAAGCGGGAATTCTGGGACATGTTCACTGAGCAATTGGTAGATGTCAGCTCGCCAGAAAACCTGTTGGTTATGGGAGACTTCAATTCTAGATTGGACCCTCAGCTCGACTCTACTGGAGTCCACATAGGGCCTACTGTGTGGGGTAAGAGGCTTTCCATTGACACTTCAGAACGAGATAATGCAATTCACTTGCTGGAAGTGTTACAGAGTTTTGATTTGAAACTCCCTCAAACGTTTATGCAAAATCGTCCTGCGCGTAGGGTTACGTACAAAGAAACCACATGCTCGGACCATTTTTTGGAGCGCCCGAATGTCTCAGAGTGGACCACATTGGACTATGTTATCACGGCCTTGGCGCCGGTTTTTGCCGTTGAAGACATTTCAAGTCACTTTCAACAAGCTGTGAATTCTCGGCACTTGCCCATAATTTGCTCCATTGGGGTCGCTCTCCCGGCGCGTCGACCCCCGCCCAGTACCCCACCGATGCCGGACTACACTCAAACCTCCCAGTATTATGACAAGTTGGAGTCTTCTCTTCTAAGTTTATGTAACCATTCTTTCGATCCGGTAGCTTCGGTGGAAGGGCATGTGTTGGCTTACACAGATGGCTCTTGCCCCAATAACAGGGTGATCTCCCAGACGAACCCAGCGGGTTGGGGGTTTGTGGTCTCCCCCATTCTACTCACTTTTGCATTGCATCCCAAACCAACTTCGGATTGGATTACTTCCCATGGCAAAGTGAGAACGAACCCGGATTTCCCGGAGTTCGCTGGGGCGGAGGTATCTTCCAACAATACTGCTGAGCTTCAGGCGCTTATTGAGCTTTTCGATTACTTGTTGTACTTTTCGGGCTTTCCGGAGGGACAAAGGATACATGTTTACACGGACTCTCAGTACGTTCTTGATATTTTACGTGCGCGCTCCCTGCCTGCTACGCACTACAGACTTATTTCCAGGCTCCAAAGGTATTGGGTCGCTATGCGCATTACGTTCAACGTTCATGTGGACAAGGTCCCCTCACACGTGGGCATACCCGGGAATGAGTATGCAGACCGAGTGGCCTACTCGGGAAATTTTTCGCTAGGACGTACAGGCCGTTTTTCGCAACCTCATTCCAGAAGTCTCAGGCCCCCAGAGTTCAATCCGGATCTGACGAACTGGGATTCATTATCGGTACAAGAGCAGAACGTTTTCTTGCGTCAGGCAATTTCCGAAGCTAAGGAGCTTATTCCGGCCCTCCCTTTGACTCCGCACAAACCATGGATTTCCAAAACAACTTTGGGACTCATCGCCGAATTGCGCGATGCTGGGGGACTCGCGCCGGAGGATGTTAAGGCCTTCAGAAAACGTATCAAGGCTTCTGCCAGGAAGGATAAAAAGACTTTTGTTCATACCCGGCTCTCCATAGACTATGAGAGCACGCCCACTCAATGGACAACTCTCCGCAACCTCCGGCGTGGATTCACGCCGAAACCTCCAGGCATCCGGGACACGAGTGGCAAACTCCGGCCTACCAAACAACGAGCGGAAGTTTTTCGAGAATATCTCGCAAATCATGTTTGGAAGTGTGGGGAAGAGGTTTTCCAACCGCGCCCGCCCCTCCATCCGGTCATCCCTGAGATCTATCGGTTGTTCACGGAAGAGGACCTCTACCAGTGCCTCAAGGCGCTTCAAACCGGGAAGGCTCCGGGACCGGATGAAATTCCTGCAGAGCTCATCAAAAGGGCTCCTTATATAGTCCGTGTTTTCCTTTTGTCTCATTACAATAAATGCCTCACCTCTGCTTCTATCCCCGACGCGTGGCGCCTGTCAAATGTGGTCATGTTGGTTAAGGATGTGAAAAAAGACACACTGTCGCTTGACAACTACAGGCCTGTCTCACTCAGCGATTGTTTCTACAAAATATACGCCTCTTTATTACAGAAACGTCTGGCTTTCTACATTGACCCACGAATTCGGGATTCTCAGTTTGGATTTAGGCGGGGCCGCTCAGCAGCGCAACCTATACATATTCTTCGACGATTGATTGAAACTCACGAACGGCAAGTCTCGCCGTTGCATGTTCTTTTTCTGGACTGGTCCAAGGCCTTTGATTCTCTTTCTTTTGCTGCGATTGAGCAGTCTTTGGTGAGGCTTGGCGTCCCTGACCCCTTTGTACGGGCTGTAATGTCCATCTACCAGTCGCCGCAGTTTCGAGTTCGTGACTCGGGCTGCATATCGCAGCAGGGCTCGCAGTCGCGTGGCGTGCGCCAGGGGTGTCCTCTCTCACCTTATCTTTTTGATGTTGTGCTCACGTGCTTGTTCCACGATGTCGAGTGTTCTTACGAGCGCCAGTTTGGGGTACTTACAGGTGTTCTTAATATCCCTTCGCGCCTTTGGGACCTCGAGTATGCCGATGATACAGTTCTGCTCTCACGTTCATCTCTTCAACTCACGCGGCTTCTGCATCTTTTACAGCATCATGCTTTGCAGTTTGGTCTGCAGCTCAATCTCGATAAATGCAAGCACTTGCAGCTTCACTCGGAAAACCGCGTTTCTTATGCCCCCGATCCGGGCGCCGATTGTAGCTGCAGTTGTTGCAACGGCGGGCGCCGTGCAGCGACAGAGTACGTTCCGCTAGCGGAGGAGGTGAAATATTTAGGCATATTTCTTGATGCTACCTGCAACAGTAGGAGTACCACCAGTAAAAGGATTTCCAGGGCAGTACACGCTTCCAAGCTGCTAAAGCCTTTCTTCACGCATGCTGGCCTCCCGACAAAATGGAAGCTCACCGTGTACAAGTCTATCATTCTGTCAATTTTGGCATATGGCATGGAATCATGTTGTCCTGCACCCTCTCAGCAAGGCAGAGTTGACTCTCTTCACTTTAAAAATTTGCGTAGGATTTTTCGTGTGAAGTCTTCTTATTATCATCGGGTTTTACAACCGTCGGAGGCTCCTTGTTCCAATGAATACTTGTCGGAACGTGCAAATGCCTTCACAGTACTTCCCACTCCGTCGCAGCAGTTCTCTTTTAACAGGCTAAAGCTTCTTGGCCACATTCTCCGTCACCCTGATACATATGAGGCGACCAGTACTTTTATGCAGTCGAAAGCGTATCGCTTCATCAGCGGAGGGAACAGATCGGGTCGGCCCAGCTTGCACTGGGCGGAAGTTGCTATGACCGAAGCGTATATGCGGCTACAACATGCAGATACGGATAAGACCCCGGCAGTGGCTGAGATTCACCACCCCTACTGGAGTATCCCGTCGCAACAGTTGGTGAAACAGATGCATTCCGCGAGCAGTCTCCCCGGTATGGACAACACTAGGCTCTTCAGACGAATCAACCCAGTCGCTCAAGATAGACATCTCTGGCAACAGATTACCAAACCTACAAGACAAGTTCGCTGATGCTGCTTTGGTTGATGGGCAAACACCGCTTGCCTTGCACTTGAAAAAAAAAATCATAGGGGGTACTATAAGCCTTACTGTACTAGAATCCCTATTAAGGAGCTGTTCGTACAAGGGGGAACATCCCAAGCAAGATGCCAACATGGTGGGATGTGTTCTCAAAATGGGGATGCGTAGGGTTGAAAGAGTTTACAAGGAGGGGGGGGGGGGGTTGGAAACGAAAGAACAACAAACTGGACAGTCGTGTAAAATACCGTTCTGTAAATCATATGTAGAAAGTGCTTTGAAGCTGACTCATGCTTGACTCCATAAGCAAAGTTCCTGTCGTAGCTTCCTAAACCCTAAACCTTAGACCCTAAGCCCCAAACCCCAAACCCTAAACCCCAAACCCCAAACCCCAAAACCCTTAACCCATGCCAAGCCAGCCGAGGCCCGTCCCCGTCTTACCCAAGCACCGCCCTGGCACCGAAAGTGCCGAAGTCGCTGCGGAGCCAGGTGGCCGGAGGCATCAAAGAGTCGCCTGACTCCGTATGGTGTAGGGTTTGGGGTTTACGGTTTAGGGTTCGGGCTTAGGGTTTAGGAATGTTTGGGGTTTGGGGTTCAGGGGTTAGGGAATTTTAGGGTGTTGAGGGTTCAAGGGCTCCAGTCAGTCCGGGCAACAAAGCGGGGTGGCGCAAGTCTGGGAGGAGTTGGTGGTCCTAATCCCTCGAAGCCCCAACCCTGGCATGTTCCCCCTTACATTCACAGTCCTTAAAAAAGAGATTATCATGGGGGGGCTCTATAATCCCCATTAATGAGCTGTTTGTACAAGGGGGAACATCCCAACTTGAAGCCTTAAACCCAGCAGTTCCAGGAGGCGCATGGGTACATATAACTCTAAATTACAGGTCTACTTATAACCTACTTAGAGGACTTGGGGGACTTCGGGAAGTTTATAAGTACAGTTCTAATTGTGGTTACAAGTGCCTTAAACCCTAAACCCTAAACCCCAAACCCTAAACCCTATAACCTCCATTCGGGCGCAAAATTCTGCCTTTCGGTCTTCAGGCGCCTGAACCTTGTTGCGGGCGAATTTTATGTCTGCAGGCGGAACTTGCCGTAAATTTTAGCTTAGGATATTTGCAGGCTGGACAACAATCGCAAACGCCGCAATGGCACGGGCGGATTTGCCCAAGCTTCGGGCAGATTTAAGCAAGCTTCGGGCGGATTTTCCCGGAGGGTGTGATCATCAGCTGCGTGAGTATTCTTTTGTTTGAAATCGGCTTCGGGCAATTTTCAAAAACAGAGGCGGAATTTCATCCCTCAGGCAGAAAGCAGAGACAACATAGCCTCAGGCTGAATTTTGTGCCTGCGGAGGTTGCAGGTATAAACCCTCAACCCTAACGGGGAACTTCCCAACTTGAAGGCCTAAACCCAGAGCAGTTGAGGTATGACATGATCCGCGAAGGGGACCGTCTCCTCGTGGGCTTGTCTGGCGGCAAGGAAGCCCTTCTCTCAAGGGGTTCAGGGTTTAGGGTTTAGGGTTTAGGGTTTAGGGTTTAGGTTTAGGGTTTAGGGTTTAGGGTTTAGGGTTTAGGGTTTAGGGTTTAGGGTTTAGGGTTTAGGGTTTAGGGTTTAGGGTTCAGGGACCCCTAGAAGGGATCCTTAATCTTGTTCCACCTCTCGAACCCCCCTAAGGTCCCTTGTAAGGGCCCTCCTTTGGTCCCTTGATTCTTGCACTGCGGGGCAGCTCTCTACATGATTGCGCTCGGTTACTTCGGGTTTTTAGGGTTCAACTCTCAGGCTTTTGGGGGCCGTAAGGTGTTCTTTTTTGCCCACTTTGGCCCCTACACCAGGACAGCCTCACGATGCTCCACGTCTTGCTGGAGTTGCAGCGGCGCTCCCCTGTAAAGTTTTCAGTTGCAGCAGCAACTGCAGCTTGGATCAGGCACGAGATTGATGGAGAGTCTGCGACACTGTGCTGCGTGGTGTGCATGCCCGCCTTGGTTATTACTTTTCTAGTAACGTTAACCAGATGAATGTGCATGTTGCTGCCACCTGCTCTACTAAGGTAAACCCAGAAACTCCGGAGTTCTCTCCGCAGCCTCTCATCGTTACGTGTCCGCACTCGGACTGGAAGGAAAGTGCACCTTCAGTGTCACGACAGGGCTTGCCGTAATACCTAAACTTAGGGTTGAGGGTTTAGGGTTTAGGGTTCAGGGTTTAGGGCTTAGGGTCCGTTAGAGCCTAAAGCCTGGATCCAAGGAATACATGGGCGCCCTTGGGGTCACCTACCACTTCCTGTCGAAGCCACTGATCGAGATGGCGAAGTGTCATCTGGACCCGAAGAAGCCTTCGATTTGCTACTGGGCGGGGTCTGGGGGGGTTTAGGAGGGGGGCGTCAAGTATCTTACTCATTCTTCGTCAAGAAACTAAGGAGTTCGGTACCTCACCCTAAACCCTAAACCCTAAACCCCTAAACCCTAAAATATGCCCCGACCCCAGCCCTTGCCAGGACAAGATGGTCGCTTCTCTAAGTTCTGGTCACTTCTTAGGTGCCCGAGATAGGAGGGGCCACCCGATAATGAGGACCCCAAGAGGGACCACATGCTAGAGAAGTGACCCTACGGGGGCTTCCGAAAAGAGGGGTACCTCATTGGGGTCCATATTCTAAAGGAATCCTGCTGTTTAGGGGTCTATTTTAGGGGGTCCCTTATTTTCCTAAAGCCCATATAGGGAGCCCTACTTGTGAGCTTCCCAACACAGAGCCGCTACGTTCTCGAGCTCTAAGGTTCCTTCTGTGCGCGGATGAAGCGTGGGATGTTGCTACTTGTCCGAAGGGTCTGGGTTTAGGGTTTAGGGTTTGGGGTTTGGGGTTTAGGGTTTAGGGTTTGGGGTTTAGGGTTTAGGGTTTAGGGTTTAGGGTTTAGGGTAAGGTTTAGGGTTTAGGGTTTAGGGTTTAGTTTGTAGCGTTGAGGGTTTAAGGTTTAGGGTTGCTGGTTGACGGCTAGCAAAGCCTGGCTCACAAAGAGCCCGTTAGGGTTTAGGCTGTAGGGCTTGGGACTTAGGGTTTAGGGTTTAGGGTTTAGGGTTTAGGGCGTCTTAAACACTCAAGGGCTTCCCCAGACCAGGTACACTTGCATGCGCGAGAACGGCTACAATGCTTCTTGGCCTCTTTTGGCAGGCCAGTCCGGAGCAGCCCATACCCTAAACCCTAAACCCTAAACCCTAAGCCCTAAACCCTAAACCCAAACCCTAAAACCTAAGACCCAAGCCCCTAAACCCTAGGACCTCAACCCTAGATGTCTTGTAGTCTCCCAAATTTTGGCGGGCTTTGGTAGGGAAGGGTTCCCAGTGCAAACGTTGAAGGTTTCTGGCCCTCTTACGGGTTTCCCTACTACCCCCCCTCTATACCCCGGAAGGGGGGGGGGGGAGGGTAGTATCGAGGGGGTAGTAGGGAACCCATGACCCTCTGGCCAGAAGAAACCCCCAGAAATGAATTACCCAAGGTTTCCAATTTTTCGTAGAAGTTGGCCGAAATTTGCCAGAGCGCACAATAGACTGTAACCCCTAAACCCTAAACCCTAAACCTGTAAGCGCTGTCAACGCGAACGAGGGGCAAATCTGGGGTGATGACCCACTCAGGTCCTTTGCCTGGGCCAGTGCCTCGGCTGCCCAATGGGCTTTGTTTGGGTTTATCGTTTTGGGTTTCTAAGGGTTTTCAAGGGCTTTGGGGTGTTTAGGGTTGTTGAGGGTTATTGAGGGTGTTTTGGTGTTTTCGGGTTCTTGAGGGTTTTAAGGTTTGGGGTTTTGGGGTTTCAAGGTTTTTGAGGGTTTGAGGGTCTAGGGCTTTTGAGGGCTTTAGGGTTTGGGGTTTTGGGGGTTTGGTAAGGGTTCGGGGTTCAAAGCTTTAGGGATTCTAGGGTAGGCCATGCGCACGAGCCTCCTCTGACAGGCACCTGGATGACTTTGCCGAGTCGTTCTTGATGTCGGCGTTCCGCAACGGCTCCCTGAGGACCATGAAGGCGGCCCCCCCCAGGGTTTAGGGCCGGTAGCCTTGTAGGCGTATCAGGGTTTAGGGCCGGTAGCCTTCCAGGTGTCTTAGGGTTTAGGGTTTCGAAAATTCGGTGGAGAGTGGAGTCGTAGCGGAGGAGAATAGTGGGATCCTTTCCCCTAAACCCGAAACCCTAAACCCTAAACCCTAAACAGCTGAACCCAGCGCTGAAGGCAAACTATGCCGTCGCGGCGAAGGATCTCCGCGTGTGTCGGCCCTTGGTTCACGTGCGCGAGAAGACGCTGGCGCAGTTCGCAAAGGAGAACAGGCATGGCAGGGTTCGGGGTTCAGGGCCCTTGGCTCTGCTCTAAAACCGAAGCCGATATAAGCCCTAAACCTTTGTCCTAAACCCTAAACCCTAAACCCTAAACCCTAAACCCCAAACCCTAAACCCTAAACCCTAAACCCTAAACCCTCAACCCTAAACCCTCAACCCTAAACCTACATGTGACTGGCTGAAGTCCGAGAAGAGGCTGCCAGTCATCGCAGACAACTGCCCAGCCTGCTTTGCGGCGCCGAAGGAGCGTCACCGCCGAGAGCTGAGGAGAAGGGGCTTAGGATTTAGGGTTTAGGGTTTAGGGATTAGGGTTCAGGGTCTAGGGTTTAGGGTTCAGGGTCTAGGGTTTAGGGTTTAGGGTTTAGGGTAGCTCTGGCAGGATGATGGCTTGGGATGTTCCCCCTTATACTAACAGCCCCTGGTAGGGATTCTACTGGGGGGACCTCTGTAATCCTTCTTACGGACTGTTAGTACAAGGGGGAACATCCCAATCTTTGGGGGCAAAATGCAGCAGACACCCCTGTGGTGCCCTGGGTGTGTGAGACGAGCCGAGGCATCAAGTTGATGCTGTCGCAGCAGGAGTTCGAGCACCCTGACCTCTTTTGGTCCCTCAGCTCTTGCATGAAGCCGCTGATGTCAATCACGCAGACGGAGAAAAACATGGCAGCTCGGCTCGATACGAAGGGGCCTTAAGAATTCGAATGTGGTTTCGGGGGGGCGTATAAACAGAAGGGATCAGGGAATAATACCCTAAACCCTAAACCCTGAACCCTAAACCCTAAACCCTAAACCCTAAACCCTAAACCCTAAACCGACCCCTGCATTTATGGCAGCTGTGGATGTCCAGCGTTGCTTTCTGAATATCCAAAACCGTAAACCCTTCAAAAGCCCTGAACCCCAAAGCCTAGGGGTATTGATAGAACAGAGCTCTAGGGTTATGTAGAAGATGACACGGAGAGTTTGTCTGCCAAGCCCTAGGCCCTAAACCCTAAACTCCGAAACCCTAAACCCTTATTGTTTCTCCCCACAGCTCTGCAGGACTGGTGGCGGCAAGTGCTGGGCGCAGAGGAGGCAGGGGTTGGTGCCATTCGGTGCAGTGCAATGCCAGCTTATGCGTGTGGTTTAAGGTTTACTGCGGGGTGGGGGGTGGGGGGCGTGCGTGGGGTGGGGGAGGTTGGGTGGGCGGTGGGGGTGGGTGGGGGTGGGGGTGGGGGGGGGGGGGGGGGGGGGGGGGGGGGGGGGGGGGGGGTGAGCTGGTGCTTGATTGGGTGTGTTGCGGTGCCTCCCCTTTCCTCGCAAAAACATGGAAGGTAGTTGCAACTATACAGATATCTTTGCATCACAGCATGGTACTATGACAACATGCCCATATGAAATGCTTATGTTCTTGTGCATATAACTGTACCTCCGAGCTTTTGTTTCCTGAGGGTTTGACATACAACGCAAGCGAACATCAACAAGAATCCCATTCTTCTAGTAATTCTTCTAGTACAGGTAGTAGGGGAGTGTATTGAGCCCTCACCCCCACACCTGAAGCATTTTGCAAAGGGGTTGAGTCCCGTACATGCAGGAAAAAGAATGCACGCACAAGCACATGCACACATACACACATACACAAATATGTGAGCACATACACTCTGTAGACGTATGTATATGAGCATACGAGTAGTTCTCTAAATTGGGGTCCCATTTGGGGGGGGTCCTTCTTTTACGGGTGCCGGTACTATGTACAGGACCCCCAAAAAGGCCATGATTCAGAGAGCTACCCTAAGGGTTCGTAGCTATAGGGTCCCAGCGTATGTATCCTCTTTCAAAAGCCCCAGGGGCAGGGTTTAGGGGTTTAGGGGTTTAGGGGTTTAGGGGTTTGGGGGTTTAGGGTTCAGGGTTTAGGGTTTAGGGTTTTGCGTTTAGGGCCATAGTGCGCATGCTCCAGGAGGATGAGGAGGCAGCTCCAGTTGATGAGGCGAAGTCCCGCGCGAGCGAAGGAGCACAGGCATCCAGCTGACAAAGGGTTTAGGGGTTTAAGGGTTTAGGGGTTTAGGGGTTTAGGGTTTAGCGTCTAGGGTTTAGGATGTAGGGTTTAGGGTGTAGGGTTTAGTTTGAGGGTTTAGGGGTTTAGGGGTTTAGGGGTTTAGGGGTTTAAGGGTTTAGGGGTTTAGGGGTTTAGGGTTTAGGGTCTAGGGTTTAGGGTGTAGGGTTTAGTTTGGGGGTTTAGGGGTTTAGGGGTTTAGGGGTTTAGGGGTTTAGGGGTTTAGGGGTTTAGGGGGGTTTAGGGGTTTAGGGGTTTAGGGGTTTAGGGGTTTAGGGGTTTAGGGGTTCAGGGGTTTAGGGGTTTAGGGGTTTAGGGGTTTAGGGGTTTAGGGGTTTAGGGGTTTTTCGGGGTTCAGGGGTTTTTCGGGGCTTGGGGGTTTAGGGGTTTGGGGGTTTGGGGGTTTGGGGGTTTAGGGGTCAGGAGAAAGGGTTCAGGGGCTTGGAGGTTTAGGGGTTTTGGGGTTTAGGGGCTTTGGGGTGTAGGGGGCTTTGGGGTTCAGGGTTGGTTTCGGGGGGTTGGGACCTATGAACCATGGGGCATGCGCCCACCCGCTGCTCCTCTGTGCGCAAGCTCCCAGCATGAATTTAGGGTTTAGAGTTTAGGATTTAGGGTTTAGGGTTTAGGGTTTAGGGTTCAGGGTTTAGGGTTTAGGGTTTAGGGAATTGAGGCCCTTGTTCGAAGGTGCCCCAAACGGGACCCCCGACGAGGCACACTTGCAGGTTCATGGGCACTTCTTACCCCCAGTATAAGTCTACTTATATCCTACTTAAGGGGCTTCTAAGTACAGTCATAATTGGGTTGTAAGTACCTTGAACCTCCAAGTAGGCACAGTAGAAGATAGTCGGCCTGGCAGGAAGCCTGCCTCGCCTCTTCAATGCCACATATGCCACCGAGAGCAGATCAGGCACATGCTTCATTTGCAGTGAGGGTTTAGGGTTTAGTGTTTTTGGTTCAGGGTTTTGGATGTAGGGTTTAGGGTTTAATTTAGGGTTTCGGGCTGGCCTGTCTCCAGCACTCTAGCCGCACTCCGGACTTTCTGCTGACCCGTTGCAGGAACTGCGCCCAGCGAAGCTGGCAGCGCTCGCTTGCTCGTCCGCGCTTGCGGGAGCGCTAGTGACGTGGCTGCTCATGACCCGGCCAAAGAGGTGAGCCGTCACGAAAACAGCTTGTGCTTCTGGCCGGGCGCATGCCCAGGAGATTTTGGTTCTGGTAGCTGGGAGCAAGACTCGTGATCTTTACTTCTGCCGTGGAGACCTTTGGATCAAGGTGTTTCTGAAGGCTCAGTGTATGTAGAGCATAGACGCTCTCTGAATTTTTTTCACAAATCGGGATCCTTGCGCCGTGATGGCGTCCAGCAAGGGCGACGCTCACGAGCACAGACTCCGTGTGTTCATGGTGACTTGCACCAACGGAGCATCCCTTTCGCTTTAGGTTTCCCTATGCGATTGCTTTGCACACGTGTGTGTTTGCGTCTGGCCCTCTTCAGGCAGCCGTTGAAGAGAATCCGAAGGAGTTCAGCAGCTTCATTGATCAAACGAGGGCCGCAGCTGATCGTGAAGACCGTCTGGATGGCGTACTCGTGCAATCCAGCACCAGCAACAGGTCGCTGGACATGACGTAACAACCTTAAGCCCTGAACCTGAAGTCTAAGTCTCAAAAGCCACAGCGCACATACACACCCTGGCAGGTCCGTGGCCACGAACCAAAGTGCCGCAACAATGGAGCGTCGAAGGAGGTACATCGTCCAGCTGTGACAGCTCCCCTGGCTATTGCAATGTCGGGTGGGCTGAGTTCCGTGCAGTAGGCATGACACATGGATATTTCCCCAAATAAGGTCCCCTACAGTAGGCCCAGTACTGTCAGCCCAATGCTATCACCCTTGTTCTAGGCACCGGCCCATAAAGGGCGCCCCTATTGCCGGAAACTCCCTACATACTTCCGAGCAACCTCGACTGGGGGGAGTTGCGGGGGTGCGTTGCTGCAAAATGTGGCGCCGGACCACAGCACCTGACTTCCCCTTGACTGTGCAAAAGCAGAGCTCCACGAACACGAAGTCCATGGGTGTTGAATCCCAGGATTTCAGCAAGTTGCGAGGGGCGACCTGAACACGAAAGGTTTGTTGCAGGTTTGCCCTTTAAAAGGGGGGGGGGGGGGGATGTTCCAAGAGCTTCGATCCGTATGCACGCGAAGAAGCTTGATTCCCTTCTGAGTCTGCCATCGGCTTGGTGAAACCCAAGTTTAGGGTTTAGGGTTTAGGGTTTAGGGTTTAGGGTTTAGGGTTTAGGGTTTGGCAACCTTTGTCGCTTGTAAGAGGACCTACTTGGAGGTTCAAAGGTACTTAGAACCCCAATGCTAAACTGCAGACCTACAATTCGGGTTTTCGGTACCCAGGAACCTCCTGAAGGCTCCTAATGTAGTTCCTTATTGGGTTAGTTATAGGCTAGAGGGGATTCCAGTGTGACTAACCCGGCGCCTTGAGGTAAACATGAAGAGCACTTGAGTAACCCTAAGGTTAGGGGTCATATACCTATGCCACGATAATCAAACCAAAAAGGGCACCCTGTTTGATTCCTGCTTACTCCTGGGTTCCAGGAAGAGCACTTGAGAACAGGCCCCCCCTTCGAATGTGATTGTAGCTGCTCAGTTCTCACAGAAAAAGCAAGCCAGCGGCTTGCCAAAAAGCCCCTTAAACCGTGACCCCTGAGCCCTAAACCCTAGAAACCCTAAACCCTGAACAGTGAAGCCTGCGTTTCTTGGGAGTTAGGGCCTGGGGACGCATGACAAAATTTTTTCTCACAAATTGGGAAGCGTTGGGCAGTGCCTGCCTGGCAATTTGCAGATAGAAGCCCTCTGAAGCAGTGATGGGTAGTGTCGTGCAGTTCTCTAGGTTATGTTGCTTTTGGGTGCCCTTTCTCAACCCCCAGCCCTAGAATATGAGCCCCGTATCCTATTAGGAATCCCTCCACCCCAAACCCGAAAACCCTAAACCCTAAACCCTACACCCTAAACCCTAAACCCTCAACCCTAAACCCTAAACCCAAGAGGAGAAGTATTTCGGGATACCGGCCCTGTGCGGACAACTGCCCCGCGCTTCCCCCGTTGGCTCTGTGCTGCTGGCTTCTGGCTACTGCAGCTCGAAAGGGAGTATATATATATATGTATACATATATACATATATATATATATGTATATAGGTAATCTGTATATATATATATATGTATATAGGTCAACAATCTCTGTATATATATATACACACGTATATACACACATACATATACATATACATATACCTCTAATTTAAATATGTTATCGACTTTATGTATGGTATCGCATACATGCATGTATATATATGTAAGATAATATAAAGATAAGATATGCATGAAGATGTTTCCTAGGGGGGGATTTGGATATGTTTGCTCGAAGCCAAGCGGGGCAGGCTTTTGACAGGGTTCCTTCGGCTCTGCAGATCGAAGTTCCTGTGATGACTGTGTGGCGCATCCTCGCCGAGCTCCGGGCAGTTGACAGGTGTTTAGGGTTTAGGGTTTAGGGTTTAGGGTTTAGGATCTTATGTAAGGTCCCAGAGAGACTGGGGGGGATGTGAAATGCCTCCGCTTTCAATTTTTCTGGAAGGCCGCCGCTCGCTCGACTTACTGAATCTAAGCCTCAGGCGAGAGGGAAGAAGCAGAACGACTTTGGGGGTGTTCTAAACAAGTCACCGTTTTCACATTTCTTGCCCACTTTAAACAAGCCACCGTGTTCAGATGTCTTGCTGACTTTAGAACCACCCCGACTTGACGATGGTCCAGCCTGGAAGAAAGGAAGAAACCTGGGTCATGGGGGGCTCTAGCCGGAGGCGAGCATCCCCAATTTTTATGGCGACTCTGAGCATCATCTCAGATCCGCCTCAAATCAAGAGGGAGTTGGTCAGGAATTATGGGCGGCCCTGGCCTCGACTATGGACATGTGTTACATGTTCCTCACAACTTCGGGTGCCAACGTGCCATGAAGGAGACCCATAATTCAAGGTTGACTCAATTTCAACTGTCAACTCAGTATCTTGCTAGGTAGGCCCTTGGGACAGTTTTAGAAAAATATTTACCCTTATTGGGTTTACCTAAAGCCCAAACCCTAAACCCTAAACCCTAAACCCTAAACCTGAATATTTTTCAGAGGGCTTTAAGGGCCATCCTAGCATAAACACGCCCGCAGACTTTGCCCTTGCCACGTCGCATGGTCGAGAGAGTGCGGATGCCATCCGGCGGGGAGGATGCCCACGGTATGCCACCTTCTTTGGCGGTTTAGGGCTTAGGGTTTAGGGGTTTAGGGTTTAGGGTTTGGGGTTTAGGGTTTAGGGTTTGGGGTTTATGTTTAGGGTTTAGGGTTTGGGGTTTAGGGTTTAGGGTTCAGGGTTCAGGGTTTAGAACCGTGCCTGTTGAGTATGTGCAGGGTTGATCTAGACCATGTGCTGCTAGTGGTATCTTAATCCGTAATCCCCAAACCCTGGGAGCTTAGGGCCCTAAACCCTAAACCCTAAACCCTAAGCCCTAAGCCCTAAACCCCAAACCCTAAACCCTAAATCCTAAACCCTGAACCCTAAACCCTAAACCCTCAACCCTCAACCCCAAACCCTACACCCTAAACCCCAAACCGAAACCCTAAACCCCAAACCCTAAACCCTAAACCCCCGAAGCACCACTGGAGTCTCGCATCTCCCTGCCGCCACTGTACGGCAGTGGCCGCACTGGCACGATGAGCCAAGGGAGTTTCCGACGGTTAAGGGTACGTAGGGTTTAGGGTTTAGGGTTTAGGGTTTAGGGTTTAGGGTTTAGGGTTTAGGGTTTAGGGTTTAGGGTTTAGGGTTTAGGGTTTAGGGTTTAGGGTTTAGGGTTTAGGGCTTTTCACTGAGAACTCTGCTCTACTTCGGGGGGTAGAAGCGTCGGAAGCTCCCAATAACTGCCAGCCTCAGCGGCTTCCGAAGGTGGCGCTCTTAGGATTTAGGAGTGCAGATGTGGTGTCAGCTTGCACTTGCTGGTTCTGAGTAGGGGTTAGGGTTTAGGGTTTAGGGTTTAGGGTTCATGGAAGGAGGGTATCTTGTATATCCCCCTAAACCCTAAACCCTCAACCCTAAACCGTAAACTGATAGCCCTGCTTGTACCCCTGAACCTTCAAGTAGGAGCAGACAGGAAGCACCCTTCTGTTGTGTCTTTGGGCCTCATGAATCAGGGAACCTATCCCCAGAAATGGACTGGGAAGAAACCCGCAGGACCCATGATTGAGGTGTTTGCAATGGGTTCATAGCAAGGAACCCCTCAACATGTTCGGAATCTTCCCATACATAAGCAACATTAACCCTCAACCCTCAACCCTCAACCCTCAAACCTAAACCCTAAACCCTAAACCCTAAACCCTAAACCCTAAACCCTAAACCCTAAACGTGCATGGTGGAGGGAGCCTCGTTCCCGACGTCCCTACGAGGTACCGGTACTTGGAGGTTCATGGTACTGAGTAACTAGTTAAACTGTACTTATAGCCCACTTATAAGCCCCTTAAGTGCCCTAATATGGTTATAAGTACAGTTATATTTAGAACCCTAAGCCCTAAACCCTAAACCCTAATATGGTTATAAGTACAGTTATAAGTACAGGTATGTTTAGTTACTAAGTACCATGAACCTTCAGGTGGCAGGCACATCGCATGAGCACAGGACACGTGTCAAGGCTTGGAGCCTCTTGACGCTGTCTGCATCTGCAAAAAAGGGGGTTTAGGGTTTAGGGTTTAGGGTTTAGGGTTTAGGGACATGAAAGCCATGCGTGTGTTGACCTGAACCTCCAGTGTCGGCTTGCCACTGGCCACAGTAGACAAGCTCAGTGCTTTCAAAGCATGATCTAGAAAATGCCCCCCGCAACCTCGAAACCCCCACTTGGCTAAGAAGGGTTAGAAACAGGGAAGTCATGAAACATCCCAAACATCCAACTTCAATAGCCCTCTTCATAGGAGCCGAAACACAAGAGACGGAGAGGCTCAGAGCAGCGCAGCCATGTTGCTGGCGCCCCCTGGACTGAAGCAGAGGCGGCTTTTTATCCTTTGTTTTTTTTTTCTCGCATTTTTGGGGGAGGGATTCCAAATATTGAGCACTTATAATAAGAGTACTGAAAGAGGCAAAGCTCCAGGTTGCACCAAAGCGTCCCATCCTTATGCGCCCTTGAGCACCAAGCTGAAGGTGTCTTCGTCGCTCTTCGAAGTTCTCCGCCCTCAGTGCCTTACTTGGGTTTAGGGTTTAGGGTTTAGGGTTTAGGGTTCAGGGTTTAGGGTTTAGGGTTTGGGGTTTGGGGTTTGGGGTTGAGCAGCTTGTGCATTCTGCCCTGCATCTCTCTGCACTTGTCGCCTTCAGCGTTTGGCTACAGCACTCCACGTCTTTCTGGGTTTTCGGCAACTTGCACGCACATGGCTGGGCAAGCGCAGGTTCCCGTTCCGAAACCCGGCGCCCGGGAATGGCTCATGGTAGTACTGGGAAGTTTGGTAACTTTCTTCTTCTCGTATTACATCTACGGCTGGGCCTCCCTTCAAGCGTGTCACCTTCGCTCATATTCATTCCGCCATGCTTTTACATTCTTCCCCAGTATCTAGAGTTGGATATACAATGGCAATGTGGAAAGCACATGTGAAACATTGCCCTGCCGCTTACCTTGGTATCCCATCTGTTTTGGAGATCTGTTTTGGTAACATTTTGCCATTTGCATGCTGAGTCCGAAGAGCTGTCTCCTCCACACAGTGCCGTAGTCAAAAACTTCCTGTCATCAGAACTGGGGGGCCCTTTGCAACATTTTGCAACATTTTGCAATTGCGAGGCGCTCCTGGAAGAGGACGGCGTCTATTTGGAGGTGTGCCAGGCCGAGCTTGAGGAACCCTGTCCAGAAAGGGCCCGTCACATGATCAGGCTCTTTACAGAGTGCAACCTCGTGACCGTTGGATCCTCTGCTTTGCTGGGACTTGTGGTGGACCGAATGGGTCCGGCTTTGCTGTCGCTGCTTGGAGGCATATGTCAAGCAGGGGGCCTCTTTCTCCTTGCCACTTCATCCACGGATTCCACGGCTACGCCGGGTACACGGTCTCCTTTGGATGGGTTTGTGATAGCCTTCGGCCTTATCGGAGTTGGTGGGGCGGCTCTACAGGTACAAGCCATGAAGCTGCCTTTTGTGATCCCTCGAAGTCGCTTTGCCTTGGTGATGACGCTGCTGAACTGCCTCGTGGATTCATCCTCCGTGACACCTCTCGGGCTCTACCGACTCTACCTGGCAGGCCGCCCATGGCCGCCCCGAAGCTTGCACGTAACAGGATCGTATCACTAGCCGCGACGGCCGCCAGCAGCTACTAGCAGACGCAGTAGACTCATGCAGAACTGCTTCACTGCAGCAATGATCATTGAACACAAGGTCACCAGGTCATGGTTGAGGAAGGCACCTTGCGCACGAGTAAGGGGGGTATGGACCTAAGATTCGAAATGAGTACATTGAGCACACTTAGTCTAGCAGTAGCGAACCTCTCACGATCCCCGAAGTACCGCCCACCACATGCTCGCCCGAAGAATCCCACGTGTGCAGGCTTATCCCGCTTCAGCATCTTCGCCAGCTACGGGGCCCTGTGCTGCCTCTTGAGCATGTCTCTGGCCGTTTGTTGGCGGGGCCGGCCGCAGGCCACCTTAAAGGCACTGAATGCCGAGGAGCTGAGTGCAGCGCCAGATGTGCCAGAGCAAGAGTTGGAGAACATGGAGAAAGCGGTGGACGGACCGCAAAATCTGGGAGCTCGGCCGCGCCTACATGGGCTTTCTCTACGCCAACAGGTCTGGTCCCTTGAGTTTGCTGTTGCGGCCAGCTTTCTCACCACCCAGCTCTTTCGCCAAAGCGCATACCTTGGCATCAACAAGGATTGGCTGAAATCATTGGGAGATGGCAAAACGGGGAATACCTTCGCCCAGCTCTTCACAGCTCTCCTTCCGGCTTCGACGCTCTTGGTACCCTTGTTTGAAATGAGCTTGGGTCGAGGGGGCTTTGCCTTTACCTTTGGCATCGTTTTGATGCTTGGTTTCGTTTGGGGTCTCGTGGTCTTGGTGCCCTGGCTAGAGCTACAAGTCCTTGCCTTCATCGCCTTCAGCGTCTTCCGGGGCCTCCTTTTTGCAGTCTTCTTCACGTTCCTAGGCCACAGCTTCGGGAACCGGACCTTCAGCAAGATGACTTCCCTATGCTTCATGTTGGCAGCCAGCTTTTCCTGGCTCATTTGGCCTCTTGCAGACCTTTCCCGGAGTCTCGCAGGGGATTTTGGGCCCATGAATCTCTGCCTGCTCGCCCTCAGTGTGCCTTCCATGTGGATGACCTACCTCCTTGCCAAGCATCTCAGGCAGTACCCGGCTGGAGACATCTCTGCTTGCGAGCCGGGGATGCCAGGAACCAAGGTCCAAGGAGAGCAGGCAGAGCTGCCATGTTCTGATGCGGTTTTGGGTGCCGCGCCGCCATCATAAGTACCGCCCTCAGTGGCTTGCCTAGCTGCGTACTGTCGCCCGTCCACCAGAAACTCCGAAGCGACCCTAGTTTAGTTGTTAGCTTGTCCTTGTTACATGGTTATCGGGACACAGGCCGCTCATGTCTTGCACTCCTAATTCGGGGGGTTTTGTGCCACCCTCAACAGTGGGAGTTGGCTTGTTTCTTGGCGCCCTCAGAAGTAGGAGTTGGCCAGTGTCTTTGCTTAGTTGCTTAGGTTCTGAAGCCCTAGAGGAGTTAGAGCTTTGAGAGCTACGGACTGAGACGGCAGGGCCCCTGCTGCGAGACCACCATGTAGAGATTTGGATAGAGAAATTTGCAGGCAGCGCCTTGCTCGTCTCAGTCGACCCTGAAGTGTGTGAACTTGAAGAATTTTACACTGCTCTGGACAGAGTCAAGCTGGACCCCAAGGGTAAACACCTGGTCCTTTCAAGGACATTCTGCCGAAGAGCGTTGAGACTAAACCCTGGGAATGAAACTTGCGTTGCCTGACCTCGATGCCCCTAAGCATGGAAGCCAAGGACCGCTGCATAGGGCTCATAAGGCACCCGACGCAGGCAAGTGCGCTTCTTCAAAGAGTTGTTATCAGAAATTCCAGGCCGGTAGACGATTCGATTTAAATCTTTAATAATTCGCAAGGGTTCCTTTGCAGACTAAGCTTGCAAGTCGCAAGTTCATCTCTTGACGGAGGCTTTCAGTTTTCAAGCATCGCCTCTTGTCCCATCATGTACTAGTGGCATCACGTAGCATCACGTAGCTTGTGCCTTGAAAGCCCCTCGCCTCCGGTGTCCTCCACTCTCGGATCCAGCCAATTTGTGTGCTGCTGGTTCCGAATTTTGAATTGGATGACCTTAGTGACCCTAGATGACCATAGCGTCCGTGTTGCAAGGGAAGTGCAATGCATTTTCCCGACCGCGGGACCGAAGCACTGGGATGCAGACCAATGCAGAGTTCTACACCCCAGAAGGGTTTAGGGTTTAGGGTTTAGGGTTTAGGGGAATAAGTTGAGTGCGACATACTGCTTCGAATGCAGGTATTGGCGCATCCCAAGACTCGGCTGCGAGTTGACGTTCCGTCTAGGATTCTGTGTGGCGCAAAAAACTGGGTGGAATGACAGCCAATTAGCGCCGCAGCGGTGGAGTCCGCTGTATCATTGCGTTTCTTTCTCATGTGCCCACAGAGACGAGGGGGCGTTTTTTACAGCGTTATTAGGGACCCTAGCCGTGCAAGGGAAATGCAGGGATGTTCAGCTTCGCATGCCCAGGTGCCTATGCCGAGCTGTATTGGTGAGCGGAGAGCTTCTGCATCGGAAGTCCGAGGCTTCGTAGGTCGGCCCTGATTCTGGAAAAAGCGTGAACAATTTTGTGGCTTTCGGGCAGGCTGCAAGGATTTTGCGAGAACGGAATTGCTGCCGCACACCTTGAGATTCCGTTGAAAGTAGGGTGAAAAAGCGTTCTATGTAACTTAAAAACCTTTTCGAGATCGGTTGCCTTTTGGTTTTTCTCTCACACGTGTGGGCACGTAATGGTTTTGGACAGCAGCGTTCATTTCGTCTTCATTTCGTTGTCAGAATTCCGCCTGGAGTTTCTTCCTTCATTGCGTCTTCATTTCGTTGCAATGATTCCGTCTAGAGTTTCTTCCATTCAGTTCGACTTCATTTCTTCGCAATGGCTCCGCCAGGTTGTTCCGTTAATTTCGTATTCAGGTTCATTTCGTCTTCATTTCGTTGCAATGATTCCTTCTGGGGGTTCTTCCAGTCATTTCGTCTTCATTTCGTCGCAACAGTTTTCTGTTCATTTCGTCTTCATTTCGTTGCAATGATTCCGCCCGGACATGATTGCGTTCATTTCGTCTTCATTTCGTTGCAACGACCGCTCTTCCGCTGTCCGCGCCCGGGGTTCCGGTCCCTCAACGAATCTTTTTCTGGGTACGCAGACCCCCAGCGCCCCCCCCCCCCCCCCCCCAAGCCCCTGAACCTCAGATCCCCAAGCCCAAATCACCACCATGGGACTACATGAACCCTAAACCCTAAACCCTAAACCCTAAGCCCTAAACCCTAAGCCCTAAACCCTAAACCCCTAAACCCCTAAACCCCTAAACCCTAAACCCCTAAACCCCTCAACCCCTAAACCCCTAAACCCCTAAACCCCTAAACCTCTAAACCTCTAAACTCTATGCTTCATATTACCTTCATAGGAAGTTATTGTCGTATCGGGCTCCATGACCCCCGTTCCCTAGCCCCTCATTTGGTCCCTAGCCCCCCCCGCCTTTGCCATACAGAGAGAGCTCCAAGAAGTTGGCACACCCTGATCCTCATACCCCGAAGGGTTTCCTAAAGGGCATCCGAGCTCCAATCATGCTTAAACATGTAGGACTTGGGCTCTCAGGCCTGGTCTTGTCAGGGCCGAGCTTTGCTCCTCTTTTGCTTCTGATGTGATAGACCTGAAACCCTAGAGCCCCCCCCCCCCCCCACTTCCGCACTTCTTACCTCTTTGCACTTGCCAAACCGTCTTTTCAACCGTGCGGCCGCTTTGAGACATCCAGCACTTGGGGCCTTAGGGCATCAGCTGACCCGAGTCGCAGCTTGACATCGTGGCTTTCGTGGCTTTGCACACTCCCTTGAACCCTGCCGCATAGGGTTTAGGGTTTAGGGTTTAGGGTTTAGGGTTTAGGGTTTAGGGTTTAGGGTTTAGGGTTTAGGGGTTCGAGGACCGCACGGGTTTTAAGGGATGTGGTTCTTCCCCATGAAGAGGAGCTCTGAGCTTCAAAGCAGTCCTGATAAGGTTGTCCCCCAGAGAGCCCCATACCTCTTAGCTAAGGAGATATGTATATACATATTATCTCGTTTTGGTTAAAATATACCTTGCGTCCTTGCAGGGCCCTCAATGTAATTTGAGGCATACTTCGTGTGCAAGGGGTATCGGGTAGCGGGCGCTCTTCGTCTAAACCCTAAACCCTAAGCCCTGAACCCTGCACCCTGAACCCTAAACCCCGAAACCCTTAACCCACCAAAGCCCCAACATCAGCTTCCCATGCCTTCCTGAAGCGTGGAGAATGGCGGATCCTGGCGAGGTGCGGGCATGTGGGAGTGGATCCCTTGCGGGTAAACTCTAGACCCTAAACCTAAACCCTAAACCCTAAACCCTAAGCCCTAAACCCTAAACCCTAAACCCTAAACCCCAAACCCTAAACCCTAAACCCGAAGCCCGAACCCTTAAACCCTAAAAACTAAAGCTTAAGCCCTAAACCCCAAACCCTAAACCCTTTATCCTAGACCATCAGCTTCGGCTAAAGCCGCCCAGAGGCAGAGCCCTCTGCGTCGGAATCGAAGCTCCATGCGGAGGCCGTCAGCCCCTGAGCACCGCCCATCAAGTCTTTAGGATTAAGAGTTTAGGATTAAGGGTTTAGGATTAAGGGTTTAGGATTAAGAGTTTAGGATTAAGAGTTTAGGATGAAGGGTCTAGGGTTGAGGGGGTATGAAGGCTTGAGAGGGTTTAGGAGAGTCCAGGGTCCAGGGTTTAGGGCCGTTTTGGGTTGTGGGTGCGAAGTCCATGGAAAAGGCACCGCGCAAAATTGATGTCACTTGAAAGCCACCCAACATCCTAAACCCAGGGGTCAGAATAATTTCTAATAGCATTCTCATATGGTCCCTTTGTAATTATGCAAAAACAACCCCCAAAACCTAATTATTAAGGCCCCGAAATTTCCTTCATTCAGGAGCTGTCTCTTCCGCAAGCCCAGCCGCAAGGCGTGGAACGTGTAGGGGACTAAGGGAGGGATGGCGGGTTGTGGGTGCTTGGGGCCCTAAACCCTAAACCCTACAAACCCGAAACCTTAAACCCTAAACCCAAAACCCTAAACCATACAGGGTTCTTGGAGTTTGGGGGTTCAAGCCATGGGCTTGGCGTCTACTACCCCCCCTGCTACTTGAGAAGGTTTCATGGGTAGGTTCGAAGTTGGATTCTCAGCACCCGTTTAGGGTTTAGGGTTTAGGGTTTAGGGTTTTTAGGGCACGGTTATCGGCTCTCATGACCCATGTCCAGGGTTTCGGAGGGACGGGACAAGAAGGGATCCTAACAGCCCCTCCCCTCCCCCCCCCCCCCCCCCCAAAAAAAAACAAAAAAGAACACAAAGAATCCTGGGTTCAGTAATACCCTAGACCCTAAACCCTACACCCTAAACCCTAAACCCTAAACCCTAAACCCTAAACCCTAAACCCTAAACCCTAAACCCTAAACCAGCACTGAGCACGAACGCGGCAGATCGGGAGCGCCTGCGCAGCGAGCAGGCTTGGGCGAGCTACCAGGCTGGGCATCGTATGAAACGGGGGTTTATATTACAGGGTTTAGGGTTTAGGGTTTAGGGTTTAGGGTTGTTTATTACTGTTATTGGGGAGTGTGCATAAGGCTTTATTTTTTCTTTTTAGGTCTGGTGAGTGTATAGATTGAGTGTCCTTTTGGGGATACGGGGATTTTCGCACCCTACCTCAGTATGGTTTGGGGTTTAGGGTTTCGGGTGCTCAAGCGGCGGCTTCCCACCTGTTCTGCGACGTGTGGCAGGTTTCCCAACTTGGGGTTTAGGGTTTAATTAGGGTTTAGGGTTTAGGGTTTCGGTGTTTTAGGGGTACCTCACCAACGCACCATCATCTGGGTTCTTGCTAAGGAGCCTAATCTGAGTTACCATAGTGAGGAATCTTTATTACTTACGACATGGCCTTAGGATGGTACTGATGTAAGTTCCCCTTAGCAAGAGCCCAGTACTTTACAGAGTTGGCCATGTGCTTCTCATTCTTCCTAGGTAGGAAGGGACCCTCAAAAGGGAACCCTTCCAACCCTCTTCTGGCTCTCTGAAACAAGGACCTTATTCAGAGGGTCTATATCATATCCCCAAGGGTCCCCCTTAATTCTGCTGAGATGAGGAATTCCTCACTGCGCCTGGTGACAAGTGCCCGCGGTGCTGGCTGATGAGGCTGGGGGTTCGG